CTTCGGGTGCATCACCCGCGTTGGATGGTTCTGGTTCTTCGTGTCTTCGTGGAGGGTGGTTTGCCCTGCTGAAGTTCGTGGTGAGCATGGTGACCTTGTGGTGGTGTTGAAAAAGGCTGCTCGCTCTGGGGGTTCCATGCCGTCTCTCCTGTCTACGGCCGTCTCTTCTGCATCTTCTGCAGTGTCGGGAGTGATGATACCATCTCGGCAGCCTTCACTTTCTCCTGTGCGCCCGGCCTATGTACGCTTCTTAGGTATCTTCTGCTTCCACGGAGGGGGGTGGTTCGCCATATCATGCCTCGTTATGTGACTTCTGTCGACCAGCTCTGGGAGCTGCCCTTTCCGCCCGATTTAGTGACTCCTGAGTTTATGCGGCCCCCCGGAAGCAGAGGGATTGTTCCCCTACCGACATGGAGTATTTGATATAGGAGGCCAATGAGAAGAAATACCCTCTGCATGAGTTCCCTGAGAAACATTCACCTACCGTTGTGCTCTTGTTCTCCTTTTCTGTAATTTATTTTGTTTGCTATCTGTTGTGGTGTTAGCCCGTTTTTGTGCGTGGATGTGGTGTGCGGTTGCGCGCGCGCGTGTGTGTGTGTTGGTGGGCCAGGTTTGTTTTCCCGGTTCCTGTCTGCTCCGTATATCTGGTTCATGTGAGTTTCGGTGTGTGCTTGTTTGTGAAGTTGTGGAGTGCCCATTGGGCTGCTTGTGTGGCCCTGCCTGTTTTTGTTCCCATTATCATGTATTGATGATGTCATTTTATTTTTGTTTGTGTTTCTTTTCTTCTTATTGTCATTTTGTATTGATTTGTGTTGTATTGTACTGATGTTTTTTCTGTGCTGTCTTGCATTGTGTTTATGCTTATTTTTGTGTTTTTGTTGTCGGCGCTTCAGGCCAGTATTTTGTGACTTTGTAATATTGTACTTTGTGCTTTGTGGTTTGTGATTTTGTGCTCTGCTTGTTTGTTCTTGCTTACTGTACTTATACGCATGCTACATGTAAAAATAAAAATAAACAAATAAACAAAAACGTGATCCCTAGCGGCCTAAGTTCGAAACCCTGAAGGACTTAAGCTTGACTGGACCCCTAAGCTGCTGTTCACAACTTGCAGTGCAGCACCCTTCAATGGCTCGAAACTAGAGCACCAAGTGTGAAAGACCAGAGCTATAGGGAGTCTTCCAACCATGTAAAGAATGAAAACTGGTGATACCTATTACACGTTCCTAACCTCACCTCACCTCACATAACCTAACTTAACCTAACCTAACATAACATAACAGAACCTAACCTAACCTAACCTCACCTAACATAGCATAACATAACTTCACCTAACCTAACTTTACATAACATAATCTCACCTAACCTAACCTCACCTAATCTAACCTAACATAACCTAACCTAACCTACCAACATTAGTGGAGAAACGAGCCAAGTTATTCCATCAATCCCGTGAGGATTCTGGGATACCATAGAGATTCACAATACATACATGGAACAGTATACTAAAAAAAAATCAACCAAGAAATATGGTGCACACGACAAAACGTGTTGAAGTAGAAAGGCAAAATACCCATATGACCAATAGAGCACTGTTGTCACACTAGTACACCATTGAGAACAAAATGTCTCAATTTAACACAATATGGCACAAAATAGGCCAACTTGACCCAAACTTAACAATATCCCTCTTCTCTAAAATTGCAACATAAAATGCAATTGCTAAAAGGTGACTGCTTCCCCCCCCCCCCCCCATCAAAAGAAGGAAACTGTATTATTATCAACAGGCCTCACACAGTCTAGCAGCCTCAGTCTGTGATCAGCAGGATCGAGCCAATACAGCAAAATGACCCAGGGACGAGAAGAAACTATGGCCGGAAACTGGTCAATTCCAGAGTCTGGCTCGGCACCGACCTTGGCACTCACATACATAGTTGGCATTGTTCATTTAAGCTGGTAGATTGGCACTCAGGGCAGACCACTCTGTGCTATGGCTATCGGTAAGCTTGGCTCCCCTGTTTCTACGTGTTTATAGAAGTCGGTCTGTACGTCTTTTTATAATGGTGTTATAGTTCCGGCCTTTGGTCTGTGTCTCTGTCTGTCTGTCTGTCTGTATGTCTGTCTGTCTGTCTGTCTGTCTGTCTGTCTATCTCTGTCGCTCTTGGAGACAGGGAGGAGTAACGCAGAGAGAAGGGCGTGAGGAAGATGATTGACGTGCATTAAACAAAGGAAAGTGTGAACGGGTGTTGAGAGAGTAGTGTGTCAGAGAGAGAGTGGAGTGAGTAGTTAGTGAGAGATTGGAGTGTGTGAAATGTGTCGGAGAGATTGGTGTGTGTCAGAGTAAGAGTTGGGTGTGTCAGAGAGAGTGGAGAGTATCAGACAAAGTGTCTAGTGTGTATTAAAGAGAGGGAAAAAATGCCCTGTTACTTCAGAAAAGGATAAAGGTTTGGGATTAGAAATACAGAAATGCGTGGGAATAAAGAGATTAATGTGTGCAGTAGTGGAGAGAGAAGTATGTGAGTGATAGGTATGTGGTGGGAGAGATTTGGAGAGAGGGGGGATTACATGAGGGGGGGGGAGGGCAAGGGGAATACAGGAATATGAGTAGGAGTTTTAAAGGTATATAGAGTGATGTATATACGTGTGAGGTGAGGGAAGAGCCCATGGGGTATATGAGCTCGAGTGGGAGGTGTAAACTGAGAAAAGACAGAGACAGAGACAGAGATATATTTTGACAGATTGATACAATAGTTTATCAACAACTGACGTGTCCATGCTGTTTCATTAGCACTTGGAGGGCAAGTAAGTTGGTTTTGCCTTCTAAGGACGGAGCTAAAAACCTGCTTCACTGCTTCAAGTGTTACAGATTATTGAGCTCTCAACCATAAATGGTAATTTACAGGAGGATTTTAAAATGACACTTCAGAAATAATACTAACCAGCATATATTATGCTTATCTTTCCTCCATAGAGAGAATTAGAGAACACTAACAAAACTAAGTGCACTTTGGGACACTCAAGCACATCCAGTAAGATGTCCTTTTACTAGTTCAAGCTATAATTGCATCGCATATTACATAGTAAAGCTCGGGTTCAGCTTCAATATATAAAGTTTTCAAGTATTCAGATGATATTTACAGAACTCAGCATATCTCAACCCACGGAGGGGGGGGGGAGGGAGCGGAGGCGAAAGTCAGTCAATATATTTGATATTCTACAATACAATATAATGTTCAGAACATTTTTTTTACCTTTTCACAACGTTAATACTGAAAAAGAGGGATGTGGAGAATTATACAGGTGAGACGGATATGGTGAGGGGGGGGGGCGACGCAGGAGGTATGGGGTGTAAAATGTGGAAAGGGTGTGTGGGTGTAGAGAGAAGGGTGTGTGGGTGTAGAGAGAAGGGTGTGTGGGTGTAGAGAGAAGGGTGTGTGGGTGTAGAGAGAAGGATGTGTGGGTGTAGAGAAAAGGATGTGTGGGTGTAGAGAGAAGGATGTGTGGGTGTAGAGAGAAGGGTGTGTGGGTGTAGAGAGAAGGGTGTGTGGGTGTAGAGAAAAGGATGTGTGGGTGTAGAGAGAAGGATGTGTGGGTGTAGAGAGAAGGGTGTGTGGGTGTAGAGAAAAGGATGTGTGGGTGTAGAGAGAAGGGTGTGTGGGTGTAGAGAGAAGGGTGTGTGGGTGTAGAGAAAAGGATGTGTGGGTGTAGAGAGAAGGGTGTGTGGGTGTAGAGAAAAGGATGTGTGGGTGTAGAGAGAAGGGTGTGTGGGTGTAGAGAAAAGGATGTGTGGGTGTAGAGAGAAGGATGTGTGGGTGTAGAGAGAAGGGTGTGTGGGTGTAGAGAGAAGGGTGTGTGGGTGTAGAGAAAAGGATGTGTGGGTGTAGAGGAGAGGGTGTGTGGGTGTAGAGAAAAGGATGTGTGGGTGTAGAGAGAAGGATGTGTGGGTGTAGAGAGAAGAGTGTGTGGGTGTAGAGAAAAGGATGTGTGGGTGTAGAGAGAAGGGTGTGTGGGTGTAGAGAGAAGGGTGTGTGGGTGTAGAGAAAAGGATGTGTGGGTGTAGAGAGAAGGATGTGTGGGTGTAGAGAGAAGGGTGTGTGGGTGTAGAGAGAAGGATGTGTGGGTGTAGAGAAAAGGATGTGTGGGTGTAGAGAGAAGGGTGTGTGAGTGTAGAGAAAAGGATGTGTGGGTGTAGAGGAGAGGGTGTGTGGGTGTAGAGAAAAGGATGTGTGGGTGTAGAGAGAAGGGTGTGTGGGTGTAGAGAAAAGGATGTGTGGGTGTAGAGAAAAGGATGTGTGGGTGTAGAGAGAAGGGTGTGTGGGTGTAGAGAGAAGGGTGTGTGAGTGTAGAGAAAAGGATGTGTGGGTGTAGAGGAGAGGGTGTGTGGGTGTAGAGAAAAGGATGTGTGGGTGTAGAGAGAAGGGTGTGTGGGTGTAGAGAAAAGGATGTGTGGGTGTAGAGAAAAGGATGTGTGGGTGTAGAGAAAAGGATGTGTGGGTGTAGAGAGAAGGGTGTGTGGGTGTAGAGAGAAGGGTGTGTGAGTGTAGAGAAAAGGATGTGCGGGTGTAGAGGGAAGGGTGTGTGAGTGTAGAGAAAAGGATGTGCGGGTGTAGAGGGAAGGGTGTGTGGGTGTAGAGAGAAGGGTGTGTGGGTGTAGAGAGAATGGTGTATGGGTTAGTGTAGGACAAAAAAGGTCCAGTGGGTGTAGGGAGGAGTTGAAAGGGACGCTGTAGACAGGTACAGAGTAGTTCATCAATTAAGCTCTGACGCCATAATAACAAGATGAGCAACAGCACACACACTCACACCCAGACACAGAAATATTACATTCCGGGATTGATTTCCCATTCATAACCCTAACCTTGAAACCATTATGTATGTTTTTTTTTTTTTTTTTTTTTTTGGGGGGGGGGGGTCGTAAACATCTACTTACACCTAAATAAATCTTAACCCATTCATGCAGAAGGCCTCCTAACCACCTATCCCCTTCACCTATCCATCCCCAGTGCCGCCGAAGACCGTGGAGGTACACTCCTGGGCCGACCCGGACCCGCCCACCTACCGTGCGGGTGAAACTATCCAGATTAATTGCACGGCTAGAGGCGCCAAGCCCAGAGCTCACATTATGTGGGAGATCAACGGAAGACCGGTGAGTTGTGGTGAGTTGGCGGCCATGGTTGTGGTGAGTTGGTGGGCCATGGTTGTGATGAGTTGGTGGGTCATGGTTGTGGTGAGTTGGCGGCCATGGTTGTGGTGAGTTGGCGGCCATGGTTGTGGTGAGTTGGCGGCCATGGTTGTGGTGAGTTGGCGGCCATGGTTGTGGTGAGTTGGCGGGTCATGGTTGTGGTGAGTTGGCGGCCATGGTTGTGGTGAGTTGGCGGCCATGGTTGTGGTGAGTTGGCGGGTCATGGTTGTGGTGAGTTGGCGGCCATGGTTGTGGTGAGTTGGCGGGCCATGGTTGTGGTGAGTTGGCGGCCATGGTTGTGGTGAGTTGGCGGGCCATGGTTGTGGTGAGTTGGCGGCCATGGTTGTGGTGAGTTGGCGGGCCATGGTTGTGGTGAGTTGGCGGCCATGGTTGTGGTGAGTTGGCGGGTCATGGTTGTGGTGAGTTGGCGGGTCATGGTTATGGTGAGTTGGCGGCCATGGTTGTGGTGAGTTGGCGGGCCATGGTTGTGGTGAGTTGGCGGGCCATGCTTGTGGTGAGTTGGCGGGTCATGGTTGTGGTGAGTTGGCGGGTCATGGTTATGGTGAGTTGGCGGCCATGGTTGTGGTGAGTTGGCGGGCCATGGTTGTGGTGAGTTGGCGGGCCATGGTTGTGGTGAGTTGGTGGGTTATGGTTGTGGTGAGTTGGCGGGCCATAGTTGTGGTGAGTTGGTGGGCCATGGTTGTGGTGAGTTGGCGGCTATGGTTGTGGTGAGTTGGCGGGCCATGCTTGAGGTGAGTTGGCGGGTCATGGTTGTGGTGAGTTGGCGGGCCATGGTTGTGGTGAGTTGGCGGGCCATGGTTGTGGTGAATGGATGGGGAAATGAAAGCCGCAATGAGCTATTCGGAATTGAATTTCCGTTGTTATCCATTTGGAGAGTGAGTGTTATGTGTTACTCATCCTCTTCACGGTGAGTAAACATCAGTTTTAAAGCGTTACTCAGCCCCTTCCCTGTGATTTACTTATAGGTGAGTACCTGTGTGTGGATGATGAGACTCACATAATGTGAGTCTGTTGAGTAAATGTATTATGGAAGGACTGTGTGTGTGTGTGTGTGTGTGTGTGTGTGTGTGTGTGTGTGTGTGTGTGTGTGTGTGTGTGTGTGTGTGTGTGTGTGTCTGTCTGTGTGTGTGTGTGTGTGTCTGTGTGTATGAATGTATGTGAGTGTATGTGTGTTTGTGTGTCTGAATTCACCTAGTTGTTCTTGCGGGGGTTAAGCTGTCAATCAATAAACTGTAACTACTAACTAATGATTTTTTTTACACACACACACACACACACGAAGTAGCCCGTAACAGCTGTCTAACTCCCAGGTACCTAATTATTGCTAGGCAACAGGAGCATCATGGTGAAAAAAAACTTTGCCCATTCGTTTCTGTCTGGTACGGGAATCGAACCCGGGTCAAAGAATTACAAGTCCTGCGCACTGTCCGCTCATCTACCAATGTGTGCTATCCTAGTATGTGTGCGTGTGTGTACTCACCTAATTGTGCTTGCGGAGGGTTGAGCTCTGGCTCTTTGGTCCTGCCTCTCAACCGTCAATCAACTGGTGTACAGATTCATGAGCCTACTGGGCTCTATCATATCTACATTTGAAACTGTGTATGGAGTCAGCCTCCACCACATCACTTCCTAGTGCATTCCATTTACTAACTACTCTGACACTGAAAAAGTTCTTTCTAATGTCTCTGTGGCTCATTTGGGTGCTCAGCTTCCACCTGTGTCCCCTTGTTCGCGTCCCTCCAGTGTTGAATAGTTCACCCTTGTTTACTCGGTCGATTCCCCTGAGGATTTTGTAGGTTGTGATCATGTCCCCCCTTACTCTTCTGTCTTCCAGTGTCGTAAGGTGCATTTCCCGCAGCCTTTCCTCATAACTCATGCCTCTTTGTTCTGGGACTAGTCTAGTAGCATACCTTTGGATTTTTTCCAGCTTCGTCTTTTGCTTGACAAGGTACGGGCTCCATGCTGGGGCCGCATACTCCAGGATTGGTCTTACATATGTTGTGTACAAGATTCTGAATGATTCCTTACACAGGTTCCCGAACGCCGTTCTGATGTTAGCCAGCCTCGCATATGCCGCCGACGTTATTCTCTTTATGTGGGCTTCAGGAGACAGGTTTGGTGTTATATCAACTCCTAGATCTTTCTCTCTGTCTGTTTCATTAAGTACTTCATCTCCTATTCTGTATCCTGTGTCTGGCCTCCTGTTTCCACTGCCTAGTTTCATTACTTTGCATTTACTCGGGTTGAACTTCAACAGCCATTTGTTGGACCATTCACTCAGTCTATCGTGGTCATCTTGTAGCCTCCTACTATCATCCTCTGTTTCAATCCTCCTCATAATTTTTGCATCGTCGGCAAACATTGGGAGGAACGAATCTATACCCTCTGGGAGATCATTTACATATACCAGAAACAGTATAGGTCCAAGGACTGACCCGAGCGGGACTCCACTCGTAACGTCTCGCCAATCTGAGGCCTCACCCCTCACACTGACTCGTTGTCTCCTGTTGCTTAGGTACTGCTCTATCCACCGGAGTACCTTCCCTTTCACTCCAGCCCGCATCTCCAGCATTTTCACTAGCCACTTGTTTGGCACTGTATCAAAGGCTTTCTGACAGTCCAAAAATATGCAGTCTGCCCACCCTTCTCTTCCTTGCCTTATTTTTGTTGCCTGGTCGTAGAATTCAAGTAACCCTGTGAGGCAGGACCTGCCATCCCTGAAACCATGTTGATGCTGTGTTACAAAGTTCCTTCGCTCCAGATGCTCCACTAGTTTTTTTCGCACAATCTTCTCCATCAGCTTGCATGGTATGCAGGTTAGGGACACTGGCCTGTAATTCAGTGCCTCCTGTCTATCCCCTTTCTTGTATATCGGGACTACGTTAGCTGCTTTCCAAATATCTGGCAGTTCTCCTGTTGTCAGAGATTTGTTATACACTATGGAGAGTGGTAGGCACAGTTCTCCTGCTCCTTCCTTTAGAACCCAAGGGGAGATTCCATCTGGGCCTATAGCCTTTGTCACATCCAACTCTAGTAAACACTTCCTTACTTCCCCGCTGGTAATCTCAAACTCTTCCAGTGGTTCCTGGTTAGCTATTCCCACACTTACCTCTAGAATTTCTCCTTGCTCTAAGGTGAAGACCTCCTGGAATTTCTTATTCAGTTCCTCACAAACTTCCTTGTCGTTTGTAGTGAATCCTTCTGCCCCTAACCTTAATTTCATAACCTGTTCCTTTACTGTTGTTTTTCTCCTGATGTGGCTATGCAACAATTTAGGCTGAGTCTTTGCCTTGCTTGCGATGTCATTTTCGTATTGTCTTTCTGCCTCTCTTCTCATCCTGACATATTCATTCCTGGCATTCTGGTATCTTTCTCTGCTCTCCAGTGTCCTGTTATTCCTATAGTTTCTCCATGCCCTTTTACTTTGCTGCTTAGCTAGCCCACATCTCTGATTAAACCATGGGTTTCTCATTTTCATTTCCCTGTTTTCCTTTTGGACTGGGACAAACTTGTTTGCTGCGTCCTTGCACTTCTGTGTGATGTAATCCATCATATCTTGGGCCGTCTTTCCCCTGAGCTCTGTTTCCCATGCTATATCTGTTAGGAATTTTCTTATCCCCTCATAGTTTCCCTTTCGGTATGCTAACCTTTTGGTTTCGGTATCCCTCCTCGAGTTCAATAACCCTTCTTCAATCAAGTACTCAAACACCAGTACACTGTGGTCGCTCATTCCTACTGGGTCCTCAAAACCGATTTTTCTAATGTCGGAGTCGTTCAGAGTGAAGACTAGGTCGAGTCTCGCTGGTTCATCATTGCCTCTAATCCTTGTGGGTTCTCCGACATGCCGGGTTAAATAGTTTCTTGTCACCACCTCCAATAGTTTGACTCTCCACGTATCCTCGCCTCTATGCGGTTCCTTGTTCTCCCAGTCAATCCTTCCGTGATTGAAGTCGTCCATAATGAGCAGGTGGGATCTATTTCTACAGGCAGCAGAGGCTGCCCTCTCAATTATAGTGTTAACTGCCATGTTGTTGTTTTCATACTCTTGACTGGGTCTTCTGTCATTAGGTGGAGGGTTGTATATTACTGCTACTACGATTCTTGGTCCTCCCATTGTTATGGTGCCTACTATGTAGTCTCTGAACTCCTCACAGCCCGGGATGGCCATCTCCTTAAAACTCCATTCCTTTCTCATGAGTAGGGCCACTCCGCCTCCTCCCCTACCTTCCCTCTCTTTCCATATTACTGTGTACTCCTGGGAAAACACGGCATTCGTTATGATTCCAGAGAATTTTGTTTAAGTGAGTCCGATCACATCTGGGTTAACTTCCTGTGCTCTTTCCCTTAGTTCACTTGTCTTGCTTATGATCCCATCTATGTTCGAGTACATCACCCTGAAACTGACTCTCTTCTGCTTCTTCTCTGGGGGGGACCTTTGGGATCTGGGGTAAGTGGTCCGGGGGGCCTGGCACGGGGAGACTGGAGGAGAAGGGAGGGCTTGGGCTGGTGGGGGAGAGGGGGGTGGTGGGGGAGAGGGGGTGGGTAATAGGGGGAGGGTAGGGGGGGAGAGTGAGAGGGAGAGGGTTGGGGGGGGGGGAGAGTGAGAGGGGGAGGGTTGGGGGGGGGTGAGAGAGGGAGGGTTGGGGAAGCATGGGGGGAGGAGAGGCTTTGGGGGATAGGGGAGATGGGGGGACTTGGGGGGGAGAAAAGGGTGGAGGGCGTGGGGGAAGAAGGAGGGTTGAGGTGGGTGAGGAAGAGGGGAGGGTTTAGGGGAGTGGGGGAGAGGGGAAGACTTAGGTGGGGTGGGGGAGAAGGGAGGGCTTGGGGGTGGGAGAGACGGGAAGGCATGTGGAAGAGGGGAGGGCTTGAGGGATGTGGGAGAAGGGAGGTCTTGGGGAGAAGGGTGAGTGGGAGGAGGGGGGTGAGTGGGAGGAGGGGGGGAG